ATACTATATATATAGAGTATATTAATATATAGTGATATATTATTAATATATAGTATTAGTAAAGACGAGAGAGGGAAAGAAGATGAAGTAGATTAGAGAGAAGTAAGTCGGAGTGAGAGTGAGGTTATGAATAGATAGGTATAAATATGATAGTATACAAAAATTAATAGTAAATTAGTTTTTAATTCAATAGAATATATGGCCTTAACTCAAGTCTGTGTATAATATTATATATTATTTTCAGTTCTTCTGCGGTTATCAATTTGTGCATTTAGGTGTGTATGTCTATGAATAAGGTCTCCCTTCTCACTCAGAAGATATAAAATAGAATTATACTGTACGATAAGATGTATGGAAGCATAGATAATTGTGGGTGCAAACAGGTGACGTGGGTATGTTTGAGCTTAGCTTGTGTGTTGTGTAAGTGCGTTGTGTGAAAGGTGTGTGATGTTCTGGTGTGTGGTTGGTATGGGTTCGGAGTGATGGTTGTCATGTGGTTCGTCTGTGGAAGTAAGGAGTGTTATTTGAGTGTGTGATCTTTATGTAATATAGAAAATTGAAATGTATTGGCTATAAAGATGTATACAAATTCAGTAAATGTATATCATTAAACAGTAAGAACAGTGAGTTAGGTACACAGTTTACATACAGTGATAGTGACCATACATTCACACCTACACTATATGTCAACACACTATACACGATGCATCGACCATCACAGTCAGTCTACACACACACCTTACACACTGAAAGCAAGTTACGACTAATAAACGAACACACTTTAACACCTACATTTGCACTATTCTTAAATCAACTTCTCATTTTCATAACGACCCCACTATGAGCATTTCAAAATTCTTACGAGCGAGCTTCACATCAACTAACACACAATGCTTAAGAATATCTATTTATAGGACTAGAGTACATTATATGTAGCGATCCAACTGAATAATTTTTATACCTATAGTCATATATGAGAGATATATATATAGTTATATTATATATATATAGTACATTATATGATAGTAATATAGTATAATATAGTAATATACTAAGTATATATTAATACATATATGTATAATATATACTAGTATATATATATATAGACTGATATATATATATATATATGGTGTGTGTGTGTGTGTGTGTGTGCTGTGTGTGGTGTGTGTGTTGTGTGTATATATATATTATATAAAGATAGAGAGTATAGTATTATATTATTATAGATATAGTATATATATACATACACACACGACCACACACACACACACACACACCACACAAGCAACACGAGAGCACAACACACATCACTATAGTTGAGAGATGTAGAGATAGAAATTTATATAGTATATATAGTGATATCAGTATGACATAGTATACACACACACGAAGTAAGAGATGTGTAATATAATGAGTATATATATAATTATAGTATAGATTTAAAAGATATATATGATATATATATAGTATATAATATTTATAATAGTTATTATCATATATGTAAATATATGTAGATATATTATTGATAATTAATATAGTAAGGGATAGAATTTATATAGATATTATAGGTGATATATATATATACTGAGTATATGAGGATCGACTATACATTAAGATATAGATAACATTACACCATACATATGTACAACACATATGTGTATGTGTGTTATATAAAAATAGAAATATGATAGTTATATATAGTTTATTATATAAGTAATACATATATATATATATAATATTATATAATATATAGAAATAATATGATATATACATATATATACAAAATATATATATATGTAATATAGAATTATTATATATACTAATATAATATAATACATAATATTATATATATATTATATATTATACTGTCATATACTATACATACATATACAATGACACAACATATATATACACATATGTACTATCGTCGTGTGTGTATATATTATAATATATACATAATATATATGCAATATATATATATGTCATATCAATATTTATATGTATGTATATGCCCATATGTATATATATGTATGTATTACACACACACACACACACACACACACACCGACACACACACACACACACACACACACACACACACACATAACATATAACATATATTATATATATATATATAATATATATATATATAATATATATATATATATATATATATATATATATATGCATATGTATGCATGTATATATATCTATGTGTACAGATATAGGTAGACAGATGAATAGATATGACAGATATATATATCATGATTTCTATTAGCAATGAATGAACGGCAGAATACCTATTATTTTACTGTCGCTACTTATTGCCATTGTTATTAATCATACAATTGATATTGACACAACCGCCTGCTATGCACTTACCTTGATATTGTGAAGGATTATGATACTTTTATTCCTATCATTACGACGAAGAGCAACGTCAGTGATAGCGTCTTTCATATCTAATCACATTTCAAGCTAAGCTAAAAATAAAAAAAGTAAAAAAAATAAAAAATAAAAAGTACTCTGAGAGATCGCAGTGGAATTTAGATTAGTTTTTAATGCATTATCTGAAACATTGGTGAAGAAAATTGTGGAATTTTAGCGGTTATATAATATTTATCAAATAAATACATGGTTGTAACGAGATTTTTTTTGATAGGCCTACCCATCAATTAAAGAGAAAAGTGATATTATTAATGGTAGCAGTGTTTATAGCATAGGTGAAGGTGAAGTGATGATGAAAATATCAATAAAAGAATGATAAAAAACTGGAATTATAATGATAATGATACGAATAATAATAGGGATATTGATAATGGGATAAAATGATAATAATAATGATGGTGATAATGATGATGATGATGATAATGATGATAATGATAATAGTGATATCAGTGATAATAACAATAGTAATAATGATAACAACAATTATAATGATAACATGGATAATGATCATAATTGTAATAATGATACTGACAATGATGATAACAACAATAATAGTAATAATGATAATAACAATAACAATTATAATGGCAATAATAATAAAGATAACGATAATAATGATAATGATAATAGTAGTAATAATAACGATAGTGATACCAATGATAATGATATCAATGATAACAATAATAATAATCATAATAATAATAAAGATAATGATAATAATAATTATAACAATAATGATAATAATGAAAATAACAAAAATTATGATAATATTGATAATAATGATAGCAAGAAAAATTATAATTGTAATAATGATAATAACAATAATAAAGATGATAATAATAACGACAATAATAATGATAATAATGACAATAAAAACAATAATGATAATGATAATAATGACAATAACACCAACAAAAACAACAATAGTAATAATAATAATAATAACAATAGTGATAACAACAATAATAATAACATTAATGATGATAATGACAACAATATCAATAATAATAATGATAGTAATAATCATAATAATCATGATAATAATAGTTCTCATTACCATTATATAACAATGATAATGATGATAATAATGATAACAATATCTAAATAATACTGATGTAAATAACAATGTAAAAAGAATACAGTGATAAAAAATTATAATGGCAGTACTATTACTATTACTAATAATAATCATAAAAATAACAATAACAATAATGATGATAACGGTAATAATGACAATGATAATGATAATGACAATGGTACTGTTGGTAATAATAATAATGATAATCATAATAATAATAGTAATGGTAATCATAATAATAACATTAATGATAGTAATAATAACAGTAATAGTAATAATGATAGTGATAACAATAATATAAATAATGATAATAGTAAAACTACTACTACTAATGATAATAATAATTATAATAATGATAATGCTAATAATAATAATGATGATGATGATAATAATAATAATAATGATAATGATAATATTAATATTAATAATAACAACAGTAATAATGATAACAATAATAATAAAAATACTAATACTAATAATAATAGTAATGATAATAATAATAAAAAAATAATAGTAAGCATAATAATAAGAATAAGAATAAATAGTAATACTAATAAAAAGCAATAGTAATGGCAACAATAATAATGATAAAAATGAAGAGAACCATGATAATGAGGATGATGATAACAACAATAATAATAATGATAATGATAATGATCATTATAACATTGATAGTGATAATAATAATAATAATAATAATAATGATAATGATAATAATAATAATAAATAATAATAATAATAATAATAATAATAATAATAATAATAATAATAATAATATAATAATAATGATGAAATAATAATAATAATGATAATAATATAATAATAATATATAATAATATAATTATAATAAGGATAAATAAATAATAACAATAACGATAATATATAATGATAATATGATAATAATAATAATAATAATGATAATATAATAATAATAATAATAATGATAATAATAAATAATATAATAATAATAATAATAATAATAATAATGAAAATAATAATGATAATAATGATAATAATAATAATATAATAATAATAAATAATAAATATAATAATAATAATAATATGATGATGATATGATATATGATACTATTATAAATAATAATAATAATAATAATAATAATAATAATAATAATAATAATAATAATAATAATAATAATAATAATAATAATAATAATAAAATAATAATGACAATAATAACAATGATAATCATAATAATGATAACGATAACACAATAATAATAGAAAAAATAAAAATAACAATAATAATAATGATAATAATAATATGTATGATGATATTAATAAAAATAAAAATGTTAATAACAAAGCAACACAAATCACAACGAGGGCAGAGATAATACTACTAGTAGCGCTGATATTATTAAATGACGCAACTTATGTTACAAGTGAATAAATACCATATCTCAAATGATTACTCTTGATGACGCAACCCCGGTGCCACTTTGCCCGAGCTTTCCGATCGCGTCAACAGATGGCAGCACCGTCCACGTGGCTCCTCCCTAGTCAACGCGAAGCCATATTGGGAAAGTCTGATCCAATAACGGGAACGGACGTTTTTAACGTATTTTAGACTGTATTAAGTGGCATTGTTGCATCTAATAGGTGAGCTGCATACTTTGGAGTCTTTAAAATTTGACCTTGAAAAAAAGTGATGAGGGTGTTTCGTCACCCACGTGGATTCGATGGGCGGAAGGCTGTGGGCATCTCCCTCTCCTAAGATCTAGGTTCGAATCCCCGCTTTGGGATGACCAGGTGTTCTAAAAAAACTACACCGGTAGTCGTGGGAACTGCAAAGTGTCTTTGGTGTGTGAAATAATTTTGCATAGCAATTTAGACTACGTACGTAGAGCTGTTAAAGCATTGGTATATAGCCAGATGCTGTAACATGGGAGGGCATGTCTTGTCATCTGGTGCCAAGTGTGTCTTAATTTGTGTGGTGTGCCCACGAGGGTTTGGACGAGGAGTGAAGAAACGTGTGTCTCACATGTATGTGCGAGTGGTGTAGTGCCTCGTGGAGTGTGCAGGACTGTATTTATGAGACTGTGGGATTTTAGGTGAGGGAAAGTGTGTGTTTTCGAGTGTGGGATTGTATTGAGGAAAAAAACAACTGTTCTGGGTTGTTTTTATACTCGGGATTTTGTTTTGATACCCTCAAATGAATTAAATACCCACCGTAAATGAAGAATGCTTCAAACTTTGAAAAAATTGGGAATAGATGTAATTAAATCAGTAAATGTGATGATTACTCCCACACCCTTGTCTACCTGCTAATTAATCTTTTCTGTCACATTCAGAAAACATGGATGGAGATAGTGGTCCTAATGAGCCAGGACCAAGCAGGAACATAGCAGGTGGACCTCACTTCATGTCAGAACGCATGGACCTTGTTCCTCCATCCAGGCCAAGAGATGAGGTAGATGACTGGTAGATTGTAGATGGGTTAATGAACTCAAAATTTTTTTCTTGCAGGGTTGTTATTTTAAAAGAATAGTTTTGGGGATATTTTTAGTATACAGAAATGCAATGAGGTATTGAGATCAGTTACCACTATTAAAATTTGTGTTCAGAATAATGTTTTGATATTTGTAAAGACAATAAGATATAGACAATATGTTATGTGTCATTTTGTTAAATTGATAATTTATATATAGTTATACACAGAGGCGGGTCTTTCATGGTAGCACAGGGGGCACCTACCCCCCTTGCAATCTGATTGGCCACCGCGTGCGCCCCCCCACCCAAGAGTCATTGACCCTTTATATCTTAATATATATTTATATTTAATATTTATATATAAATATATGATATTAACATATGATGATATATAATGCTCACACAGCAAGATGAAAATATAAACAATGTGTAACTCTACAATATGAATATTGAAGTGGGCAATCTTAATTTTTGTTTTTTTTGGGCGGCCCCCTTAGATTTATTGCTGTTACCCACTGTACCCCCCACCAAAAAATTCTCTGAACCCGCCCCTGGTTATACATGACTTGAGCTTTAAAATTGCCATCTACCTATTTAATTGTAAATTCTCATTTTTTCTACTCCTCTTTTTCTTGTTTTACCTTTCAAGAAATTTTTACCTCTTTAGGTTTCTTTTTACTAACTTTTATCTTCTCTGCTTCCCCTTTGCCTATCTTTTCATATCCTCTTTCCTTTTAATCCTTTCTTGTCTACTTCATTCCTTTAGTCCTATTGCACATTACATTCCCATCCATCATTTTTGTTCCCCACCTTTTTCTCATCATACCTTTAATTTCTTTTAGTCCCTACTTTATTTCTCCACTTCATGTCTGTTTCTCATGCCTCTTCCTTCCTCTTTCTTAATTCCCAAATCCTATCCTTCCCTCCTTTTCTCTCTTCCTTTCCTTTTTCCCTTGGTGCTCTGTTGTCCGTTTACTTCTTATTCTCTTCTATTCTGCTTCTTTTCTTTCACCCCTGATACTTCCTTCTATTCTATTCTCCTCCTTTCACCTCTTTGATTCACTTTCCTCTTCCTCATCATTCCCTTTCCTTTTTGTCCTTTCTTTTCCTTTTCCTTTCTCTCCTCTCCTCTTCTTTTCTTCTTCTCTTCTCTTCTCTTCTCTCTCTTCTCTTCTCTTCTCTCTCTTCTCTCTTCTCTTCTCTCTCTTCTCTTTCTTCTGTCTCTCTCTCTCCTCTCCTCTCCTCTCCTCTCCTCTCCTCTCCTCCCTCCTCTCCTCTCCTCTCCTTCTCTCCTCTCCTCTCCTCTCCTCTCTCCTCTCTCCTCTCTCCTCTCTCCTCTCTCCTCTCTCCTTCTCTCTCTCCTCTCTCCTCGACGTCGCTCTCCCCTCTCAGACCACAAAAGCCATGTGCTTTTTATTTCACAAGATTCCAAAGTGCCCTGTGCCATGAACGAGATGACATTGATGAAGTGACCGTAGAATATGCTATTCCAACCTTTATTGCTTGCATACGTTTCTCATGTTATTATTCTAATGTTTACATGTATAAATATGTCATATTTATGCCCAAAATGTTTCTTATAAAATGCTTGTTCTGAATCACTATGTATGTAATTGCTTCTATCACTGATATTTAAATATTCAATGTTTCATGAATAGTCAGCCAATCTGTCCCCTAACCACAATGTTTTGGTTATAAAAACATACCTAGTTTATGTGAACCATACCCTTGTTCCTTCTTCATGAAACAGTCATGTGAACTGATGTTTCTAAATTTATGTTCATTTATATTCTTTTATGTTTCCCACTGTGAATTGTTTGAAAACAAACTTTGTTCATGGGAGTTCCTGTGCCATGCAGAAAGACCGCTCGCCCTCATGAGCTTGGCAGGAAGCGCTCCTCCCTGCCATGCCCCTCTGTACCAGTTACCCGTATTAAAGACAAAAGCTGCGACAAGTTTAACTCCAGACCAACTTCAAAGAACTCACCAGTACACCAGTAGCTACATGTTTATTTACACTTCACATTCAATAACTACATTTATTTAGTCTATTTTATGTTTGTATATAACATTATTCATTTTCAGGATGATGATTCTGAATATGGTGTACGTAGGAGCATCGGCTGTGAACAGCTAGCAGATTGGAATGCACAGTTGTATGAGAAAAGTTATGTGAAATGTCCACTTCCCAATTGTGGTATAATGTTCCATGGAGCTACACAGATTCAGAATCACTATGTCAACTGCACAGGAGTAAGTTTTTTATTTCTATTTCTATGAGCAATGATATATAATCATTAATTATTTGACCTAGTAAAATAATTATGTTTTGGAGCCCTTTTTGATAGGCATGAAGGATTTTTTTGTATCACTTAATTTGTAGATTTCAAAAATGAAACATTCTTTTAAGTTAAAATATGTGGGATAATGTTTGCTAATTTGCCAATATCTGTTCTTCGCAATGGCCAATACCGAAGCTGTCATAGGCAGGGATGTATTGACAATTACATATGAGGGAATAGATGAATTTGCCTAATTGTATTTACATATTCTGTATATTTCAAGATATGTAAGCATACCTATTTTATTTTTTTCAATTAAATTTAGGAATGTTATTTTCCTCTGTAATATCTTGACAGAAATATACAAACAAATAATTTTACATTTCAGTTATTATTTTTTGAACATCTAAATATCTTTGTAGTTATTATGTAAATCATGGTGTCCAGAGAAGAAAGTGAATCTTACCGTTATATGATGTCATACCCTGTTATTGATAAAAAGAAAATGCCATCCTTCAGGGTAGGAGCCACCAAATAAGATCATCTTAGTGTTACACAGTTAAAAGAGTTCACATGTGTATTAATTACAAGGTTTAGAATATGTTTAATATGTTTTGATGATTTTTTGTACTTAGTTCTCTCGCTACCATCTCAACAGAGATGTGATGATGCCATCATTGAGTGCAACCACTGCCAAGCTATTGTAACAGCAGACCAAATTCAACAACACTTGAAGATAATGCACCGTTTAGACCAGTCGCCACAGCCAAGCAGTGACTCTGGTAGCAGTGAGGTTGCCAGAGCAACAGGAATCATGGAGAGAGAGCGCAGACCAAGCCAAAAGAGTGGCGTTGGATCATCAGTTGTAGTGAGTCTCTCCTCTCTTCAGGATCACCACCATCACTGCCACCACCAACCTGCCATTTTCCTTCATCCTGTAAGATAGATTACGCACAAAGTTGTTACTCGTGGTGACATTTTCTGTCACTTCATCAATTTCCTTTGCTTTCTTCTGTTTTCTTCTGTTTCCTTTAATTTTGATATTACTTCCCTCCTTCTCATCATCATCCTCTGTTTTTGATATTCTCTGTTTCTCTCTATCTCCTGTCTGTCACTGTTCAGTTTTCTCATGTTTTCTGTTTCCCTTTTCATTTATACATCCTGTCCTTTCTTTGATATGTTCATGTGAAAATAATGATTTCTAAGACATCATTGTCATGTCTTTCCTCATTTTTGGTGTATGGCCCTAATAAATATTTGCTATCATTTTTGTGCCACTGGAGACTTTTATTTTTGCAAATTATTGAACATTATTTGTAAAGGATGCATATATTTTTCTTATATCATTTGAAATAAATGTAACAGATGATTTCCAAAGAAATATTTTGAGTGACAGGGACAATACATAATACTTTAACTTTAACATTCTTGACTGAAACTTCATCAAATAAGTTAAGCTGATAGTATTAAAGACCATTGGCCTATGTCAACAATTTTTTTTATATTCATAACTACAGAGCACGACTTTACAATTAATATTTTTACTTTTTTGAACACCCTTTCATTATTGGCATGGGGGACATGCAGCTTGGTACAAGTGTGAACAGTACAGACGTGCAGTTACCGTATTATATTTTTAAGATTATTCTCTTTGAAACTGCCTTTGCGTGAAAGTGAAAAAAGAGTCTTCAGTATTCTGTCTATCTGATGTTAATTTTACTCACAAATTTCAAACAAAAAGGAAATTATATATAAACAGATACAGAAACAATATAAAGAAGAAAAACAGAAATACAGGAACCAAAAGAATAAACAAAGAGAAACAAGTAATATAAAAAGAAAAAAGAAAAGCAGAAACAAACACGGAAACATTCCCACTCTCCCACTCCCACACACTCCCTTATTCTCCCAGACTCACGCTTTCACTTGCACACTTTCACATACTTTCCTATGCTTTGGTACTACACTCTTTCACACTTTTACACACTCATGCTCACACTCAAACAGATGGCTCCATGTAGTGCTGAGCCACCAAGGAGTTGATTAGCACCTGATTTCCCCATTCATTGAATCTGTAATTAAAAAAGATTCTAATGTTATTAAACTTGATACTTTTAATATCATTTGACATTAAGTTTATTATGATATTAAAATAATGATAATGAAAGATAAAAGAATCTTTCCAAAACTCAGGAAAAAAAGTAAAGGTGAGATAGGCTGAACTAATGATTGACTCCTGGCTGTTCACATCTTGGGCTTAGCCACATAATCCAGACTGTTGCGTAGTATTACATCACAAATAGATCAGGGCCTGTCATCATAGGGTTAATAGCAGTGAAAAAAAATACTCCTGAAAATATATAGAGATCACATAGACTATTACTTCTTTGGTGGCAAAGCACTTATGGAGTCATCTGTGTGTGTGAAATACATTTCACAAAACAATACTGCAGTGAACGTCACATTTCCATGGCACATGAAAATAAGAAGTATGAATTGAGAAAAATATAAACTTGTGAAGAAACAAATACCTTTGCATAATTTATGAGTAAAATTTTATTATTAGTTATCAGAGGTAATATAGCCTTGCCAGCTAACCTGCTATGCATGTTCCAACAGAAATGTTAAATCTGTCTAATTTTAACTTTCTGATCATATTGGCCAATATTAATGTAATTAATGATGTCTTAAAAATGTAATTAAGATTAATGAAAACTAAATTTGTGAAGAAATAAATTTTATTAATCTGTTGGATCTGGTTGCCAACAGGGCTGGAAATACAGGCAGTGGGTTATGTAAGTGGCCAGTATGCCGGGTGTAAACACTCGTGAGTGGGGACAAGACTCTGTGCTTCCCCTTTGCATAGTTATTTTGCGTAAACTTTTAAAGTTTTTTTGCTATTTTTTAATATTCATTTCCATGCTGTGCTTGGAAAAGGTGTCCTCCTTGGAGTTGGCACTCCTCCAGTCATGGCTTACGCACATTGCATTGCACATTCGTTTATCAATGGGAATAATGCAAAAGCCCCCTTCTAAGCACCAAATGAGTCTAACCACACTTCAAGAGGTTTTTTGAACTTGTGGCATGTCATTTCTATTACCCTGGCCTTCACTCATGACAGCAAATATGCATCACCTGGCCTGTGACCATTTTATCCGATAGTGGCATGTTCACGTCAACTGGCCTTTTACCCAGATTTTTCCATAATGGGACAGTCACGTCACCTAGATCATAGGGGTTAAATCATGAGTCGTGATACAAAATGACAGCCTTTTAATTACATCCTGTGATGGGAGGGGGTCTCCTGTATATCCAGACTGAATGTGCCACAGATGGCCAGATATGTTAATTGTGCTGTTCTTGTGTTTGTGTGTTTAAGTGACATGTTTTATCCTTTTTTTCCTTTTTTTTAGTATTACTCTTTGTTCACATTTGTCTTGTATTGATTTGTTAAGTACTGCTGTGATTGGTTGCCATATTTTATTTTAAAATGGCAGGTGTTGCTGCAAAACCAGCTAAAAGCACTGTATTTGCATTGCATTTTTTTTTTTCACAATACACGGGTAGTCAATTCTATACATAATACCACAAATACATATTCAATCTTTATATATTATAAAGGACTGTGTGACAAATATCTTTTCTTGTAGGGTGCTGAAGAGGAGGATGGAAGAGACTTTCAAATATCTGAAAATTGTGTTGAAACCAAAGATCATCATTCTTTTAAGTAAGTATTTAAAAATATTCTTAATGTGTTGGGCAAGACTTAAAATGGGGAGGTAATATGTTTGAAGTAATTTTGAGAAAAAAAAAAATTGTTAACCTTTCTTGTTAAAAGCTTGTCATCACGAATTGTTCTATTTGCCTTTTTAAAATTTGATAAGGATAAAGTACTGTAGGTATTTTAGTTTTCCTTACCAGCCATTTAAAGTTATGCCATTGTTATACTGAGTTCATTATTTGCAAACTCCGTTTCAGGTTTGTTAATCAAGACCAAATGGAAAGGCAGTGGGTTCATGAGCTTAATGCATCAGGATGTGCCACCTGCCCAGTAGAAGGATGCCATCTCACCTTCCCATCCATGTCTGGCATCATACAGCACTTTCAACATTGCCTGGGAAAGTCACAAGAGCCTTTTATGTGTGAGCTGTGTAGTAAAAGGTTTGCAACAGGCAGAATGCTGAATGATCATATGATGCACATTCATGGTGATGATAGGGTAAATATTCGTGTTCGTAACCTAGATACAAGTGTACCTGATTATAGCATGAGGAGAAGGGTAGTGGAAGGAGAGGATTCTGAGAGAAGAAGATCTGGAAATGGTCATGTTTTCAACCCATTGTCTGTTGAGGAGGAAGTAGCTTTAAAATCAACAAATGATCGTCACTGGAAGCAGAGAGATTATATTTTGGTTTCTTCTGCACATGAATCAGAGTCGTCCTTAAGTGATTGTTACTTACCTCAGCATCAGACTTCCCAGTCTGTATATAATGTGCCAAAGAATCATACTCACCATAGAGATATATCTGGAACGGGTCCAAGTACATATAATGTAGCCTCATCAAGAAAAACTCATCATTCAGTTCCTAAACCACATAGATTGATAGATTATGAAAAAGATAGAATACCTGACTCATCACATAGATATGAACCTCCTTCAGCATTTCATAGAGTAAAAGACAAAAATGCAGGAGAACCAAGAATGCTTAAAGTTTATGATATTGATTCTCAGCCTTCAATAAGGATTTCTGGTTACCCAGAAACAGGAGTTTTATATGGTGAAAAAGATGATCTTAGAGAACCTATATCTTCAGAAGACCCATTCTTCAGGCCAACACATAATCAGCCAATGAGATATGTAAGGAAAATTGGTACTAGGTCACCTGTATATCCTAGTACATCAGGAGTTAAAAGAAAATATTCTGAAGAACATTGTGGGAATGTTTATGAGGCGACAAAGAGTAGGAAATACATACCAACAGTTTCTTATACTGCTGGTTACACAAGTGATGAAAGTGAAGAAGATGCCAGGCTTCATCCAAAGTATGATAGGAGAGTCCGGCATTCACCAGTTATGTGTTCCTACCCAAGACCTGTTGTGAAAACTGAAGTATATCCAGCTGGTGGCAGACCTGTTCGCAGGGACCAGTCTTATAATACCAACTTCGTGCATAATATGAAGACACCATATATTAGTTTTTCAAAGAAAGAGAGTACACCAACTTTTGAGAGACCATTGCTTCCTGATGAATCCAATTATGGTAATACAAAGTGTTGTATGTGGGAAGATGATGAAGATGAAATGTTTGTAGCTCCAGTTCACATTAAGAAGCGAGAATTAGCAGAAAGAGCTCAGCAACTCCGGCGGGTAGAAGAGGCTGTTAAGCAGCAAGAAGAGGAAGCACAGCAAAGAACATGGCGTGCACTGCGGGAACAAGAGTTGGCTTTGAAAGAGAAGGAAGAAGCCTTAAAACAAAGAGAATTTGCAGCCCAGAAGAAATTTGAAGAGGCCACAAGAATGATGGAAGAGACTCGTAAGCTTGGAGATTCAAAGAAATTTAAAGAAGACAAAAATTTTGCTAGTGGACGTCCAAGTTTATTGCTAGCTGTGAGCAAAAGAAGCAATTCTGCTAGTTCACATCTGAGTAATGAGGAATCAGGAAACAAAATTTACCAAAATACTGTTTCTGGGCCTGCAGAAATCACAAAACGTACAGATAGTTCATTGGAACTTCAAGATGGACCCCAAGTTGAATGTAGTGATGAGAGTGTGGGCATTCACAGAGCCTATCGGCCAGAATCTTTTGATCATGAAATAGGTAATTCGGCTTTGAATGATATTGCTTTTCCAAGGTTAAGTGAAAATTCAAGTGATACATCTATTATGAATATTAAAACTTCATCTGTTGAAGATGAAAATGGGTTGTCTAAGTCTCACAAAACTCATACTCCAATGAAATCATCATCCCCTACTTGCACAAAATCATCTTCAACTTTATTAGTAACTGGCATTAAGAAACATGCATATCCTTGGCAAACAAGTGAGGTTATACCTAGTATTGAACCATCAAAAGTACTAAGAACCTACTCACGTATACAAAGACGCCGCACTCTGACAGATTCTTTTCCTCAGACTAGTTCTAACTCACCTTTGCGTGCACAAAGTTTGGTCCCAAACAGTAAGATTTTTGTATGTGGTACATCATTTAAAAGCCAGAAGGAGGATAATGGTGAAACTGTCATTAATGGTGGGGCCACAGTAACAATTACTCCCTTGATACCATCAGATAGGCCAAGAAGACCTTATAGTGCCATGCCAAATATGCAACCTTCAGGACATGCAGACTGTCCAGAGTCACCTACCCTTCTAAGGTCTCGTCCTACATCTGCCCTTGAAAACAGAATTGATATCCCAGTGTCCATAACAGTTACCAAGGATGATAAGGAGATATCAGTAGATTCACCAATCAATCTTCACTTGGAAAATGTTAAAATACCTTTCCGTGATCTAAAAGTCGTGTCTACTGATTCTAAGCCAGTTGAAAATGAAAAAAGTAAGATCAAAAATATATTTGTTCATGAAGTGGACAAAGGAAGAGAGATGATTTTAAGAAAAAGAAGTAGTGACACCTGTATCACACTTGAAAAAGGAGAACCATATTCTCGAGGGCGAAAAGGAAGAAAGTTGTCGATGATATCACTTGCTGGTGTGTCAATACCAGGTCAGATACCCACAGAAAAGACATTGAAGACAGGAGTTAAATGCCATGGAAATTGGACTTCCACTCCCTCTTTACAAATTTTCAAAGCTAAACCATTAAATTTTGATAGTTCAGATGAAAGTTTAAGAATCTGTAATTCCAGTGGAGAGTTTGATGCTAACATGAAGATTTCAGGACAATATTCAAACACATGTTTAGATCTGTCTATTGCCAAAAGCAACACACATACAAAAATTCAAGATGCAAAACCTGTATTGGCAACACTGAATGACTCATTTGTTAAAGACCAAAATTCTCCTCACTCAGGAAAGCAGCTACTCATATCATATGAACAGGCTGAGCTAACTTCAAAACAAGATAAACGTGATATACAACCAGTAGTTTCTTCCTCACAATCACTAGTGGATTTATCTTTGGTGAATAATCCAGCTTCACAAACTCCCCCTTTCACAGTGGAATCCCACAATCCATTGCCAGGAACAGAATTACCATGCTCAAATACCCAAGAACCCGTACATTGTGTCCAGACACTTCATGCAACACATGATGAATCCTGTAAATCTAATAGACATTCAATAGTTTCTCCTTGCACTCACTCATCTGTGTCTCTGGAAGGTTCATATTCACCTTGTGGGACACCTGCTCAAGAGGATGTGATAAATTCACAAGATAAATTTTGTGAAGAACAGACTAGCCCGGCCTTTGTTGACCATCCTGTAGATGAAAAATCTGGCTCAATTCACAGTACAGTACCAATGCAAGAAGAGCCATCCACAAATGAAATACAAGTGTCTGTGCAAGAAGAGCCATCATCAAATGAACAACAAGTTTCTGTGCAAGAAGAGCCATCATCAAATGAAATACAGGTTTCTGTGCAAGAAGAACCATCATCTAATGAAATACAAGTGTCTGTGCAAGAAGAGCCATCATCAAATGAAATACAAGTTTCTGTGCAAGAGCCATCATCAAATGAAATACAAGTTTCTATGCAAGAAGAGCCCTTGCCAGTACATATATCCAACCTAGATACAGCCATAAATGATTCATTGCATTCCCAAAATGATACTCCAAGTTTAGAAAATGTTGATCAGAGAAATCATGAAAGCTCCTTAGTTACTTGTTCACCTGACCAAAATCAGAATGGAGATCATATGTCTCATATTTCAAAACAAGAGCCATATGTTGCAGAAGAAACACAACCAACATCACATATCACTATGGTAAGCAAAGTTAATAATGATGTAGAAGGGCAAGGTGCAGTAGAAATAGACACTGACCATCAGCTGCAGGTCTGTGAGAAAGATGTAGGTAATAAAGAATGTATTCCTGGTGATGATGAGCAAGAACCAGAAGTCCAGACACCACAAGAAAAAAGCCAAGAGTCACAGATCATGGGACAAGAAGGGGAACAAACTTGTCAGGAACAGGAAATGTCAGACAAAGAGTGGGTTGTACAAGAGCAGAAATGGCACTTACAAAACAAAGATCACTCTAGAAGTGATGAAAATCCTACACAAGAAATGCAAAATTTTGCTCAGTTACAAGAATTATGCTCAAGTTTGCCACCTGCAGCAAGCACAGGTGTAGAAGCTGAGGAGACCTCTCAAATTAAAAGTAAAGAAGTAACAGATACCTGTGTAACAGAAGAACAAGGGCATCAGGAACAAGTACATGATGTAAATGAATCACAGATTAAAAGAGAAGGCACTAATGTTAATTTTAATGTCACTGTACCTGAAGGAGCTTCACATATTATAGGTGAATTTGACCCATCAACAGGGACTTTCATTAGCAGTAATCCTGTCCTTCTAAAATCCATCTTGGGCAACACTGTGACTTACCCCTTAGCAGCAGTACATGAGGGAACTTTTCCTCCAGAATTTACCAGCCAGTTCACTCAGCAGTTACCTGTTATTAACCAGGTCAAGCAAGTTAGCGTACAGAGTCAGACAGAAGAAGTGCAGGAACAAGGGAAATATACTCATGATCAGTGTTATGATATGGAAAGACAAACACATTCAAATTTTGAAACAAATATTGAATCATCAGACCTTGAAGAAAAGCAGTCCTACATCAATCAGGCTTATGTAGACAATTATGAGAATCAAGATTTATGTCAAGGTGATGTGGTCGTAAACCAAAGTGTAGAACAGCTGAACACCAATTTTTATTATAAGATGGAAGATAACCTTGCTGAAGCTAATAATGGAACTTTAGCTGAAAAAGATGGAAATGAGGATATGGGCATTGATGAAGTTGAAGATGAGGATGTTAGTAATGATGCAGATAATGTTGTAGAAGATATAGAGGTTGCAGATTGTGATGAAAGCACTGGTGTGAGCATAAACTTTGATACAAATAATTGCATGTCCTCTGAATTGAAAGACACTCATTGTACAATCAGTGAAGCTACCCAAAACGATCATCTAGAGATGCCTGCAACTGATAACATTTCAGATGCTGAAGGGAGAAATCCTGATAGTACCATTTTGTATCCTCCTATTTATGTGAGTCTTGGTATATCAGAAAATGATGCCGGAAATGTGTGTGATAAAATCAAAGGAGAAATCCTTGGAGAAGTAAGAGATGAACAGACTGAAAGAGGAGGAACTGAAGTCAATTGTACAAACATATTATCTCCTCCTGATAAAAGTGATAGTAATTTCAGAGCAAGTGGATATGAAATGGCTAGTTGCAAAATTCAAGAGCCTTGCACCACAGAAGTAGAGAATGATTTATATACCAGTGAAAGACAAGAGATATGTACTGAACTGCATGAAGATAGTGACATTAGTTTTAATGTTCAAGATGAGTCTAAAGAGGAAGATCAGACTAGGAATCAAGAGTTAGATGTATCTCAAGAAAATACTTTAGAAAGACAAAGCAGAGGTAAAGGAAGGAAAAGGAGTCGAAGAGGATGTAGAAGAGGAATAGCAAGATCAAGATCAAGAGGAAGAGGTAGGGGAAGGATAAAACAGAGTAGATCTGGAGTATCACTTTGTGCCTTTGAGGAATATACTAACACCATAGGGGAATTAGACCAACAGACAGCATATACAATTTATTCCAAAATAGATGGTTTGGAGAATATGTTTGTTAAACAAAGTAATAATGGTGAAACAGCTTTAATAGATTTAGGAAGCACTGCTAGTATAGAAGTAAATTATAAAGCACATGAAATGCTGAAAAATGGAGCAGATAATGATGGGAAGAAACAGGAGGTAATTCTGAATGTTGATAAGTGTGTAACTGATCAAGAACATTCATCTACTATGTCTGTAAAACATAATAGAGAAAATAATTCATGTAGCATGAAATCCCCTGGCTGTGTAGAGAACAGTACATGCAAAACATCCATAAGGAGTGAGGTTTTGAAAGTTGAAGAGGAGAGGATTGAACATGTATCTCGGGGAGGGCGAAAACTAAAACTTAAAGACTGGTGGACAGGTGTTGTAACAGACTCCTTTGCACCACGAAGCAGAGCAAGTAGTGTGTCGAAATCACCAAGAAGTTCCTCAGGGAAGTCACCTATACGATCACCGTCTCACATTTCGGTTCCAAAACAACTTTTGTTTGTGAAGGAGGAGAGAAGGACAAGCCATTGTCAAGAAGAGTGCCAGGAGAATGATAATTCAAACATTAATGTCAGTCAGATAGGTAGTACCTTAACATCAGATGCAGAATTCCAGGATGTAACAGCTTCATCTATGTCTGTGGTAAGAAAAAGAGAGACAGATTTGAATTATGAAGTCAATATAAGCTCAAAGAAGAAGGGCAGATCAAGTAAAACTGAAAGTCAGTCATTACCAGTCGAAGAAATTGAAGTTAAATGTGGAAAATGTGATGTCATTTGCAACTCCAATGCCCATTTCAATCTTCACATTCAGCTTGAACATAATGGCCTTGCAAGACCTGATGGTGAGGATCAGACTTTCACAGATATTGAAGTAAAGGAGATATTAAAGAAAACTATAAAAAATATGAAAAAACTAAAGTGTGAAGTCTGCAGCAATTTCTTTAGATCATTACTTGGTTATAGGAGACATTCTGAAGCTTGTGGGAAATCTAATGAAGAGGTGAATATTAGATGTACAATCTGCAATAAAGAACTGCGGTTAACTGCGGTACTACTGTATGCCTGCACACATGAGAACTGTCCACGCAGCTAAAAAGCCGGATCCAAAGAAAGTTGAAAATAAAACTGAAGAGATTGTAAGCTCTGCTTCCCGGCCTAGACGAAGGGCAGCAGCAAATTGCAATGAAAGGCTTAAAGTTTGGAGATCAAATAGAACTGGGGAAAGTGGCAGTGATAATTCTGATGCTGAAGAAGACTTTAATATTGAGCTGGAGGCAGACAAGTTTTATTCAAAGCCTGAGTTAACAGATGTTCCTGAAGAGGTTGTATTGAAGTGGGAATCTCAACTTAGTACTGGTGTAGATGGTTGCTGTGGCAATGAAGGGTGCACTTTCACTTTTTCAAGTATTCCACAAGCAAAGTCACACTTCCATCTATGTTCATATTCAGCAACCAGACAGATGTTCATGTGTAAAAACTGTGATTACACTTCCCAAACTGAAAGAGAGATGGTGAGTCATGTTTCTACCATTCATATAGATCTTACAGGAGGTGCAGAAGAAGAGAGTGAATATGACTTTTCTGATGATGAATGTGAAGAGTCATATAGACAGACCAGAAGTTATGGTAGAATGAGTCATGGCCAGCTTAAGCCTTTTGAACCAGCAATGAGATGGACTTTTGAGTTTTTGAAGGATTCCATTTCAGAGGATGACCTGTTCTTGGAATACTTCACAACAAAGGACAAATGGATCATATTAGATGAGGAGCAGTACCTGAAATTTTTACCATCTATTAAACAAAGTCCAAGGTTCAAGGTAAAACAGGCAGGTAAAGCAAACACTATGACAGGAGAATGGACCAATATACAGCAGTTTACTGGCCAGTCTGTAGGTGGAACGGATGTGATCTTTTGTGGAGGGCCAGTCATATCTTCTGCCTGGTGTCCACTGCCTCAAAATGTTTCTCTTGGTATGAGTCCACAGTATCTAGCATTGTCAACACTGAAATCTCCAGAGAAAGAATATCCAATATTGAAGTCTACACTACATGAAGGTCTTATTCAGATTTGGGAATGCACATCTGAAGGGAAAGAAAGTGGTAAACATTTAAAGTTTGTGTTTGGAATTGCACATGAATTTGGAAATGTTTGGTCACTAGCATGGTGCCCATCTGGAGCATATGAATATCTGGAAGGGGAATTAGCCTCTAGTCAACTGAAGAGGCTAGGGCTCTTGGCTGCAGCATTTTCAGATGGCTTCATTCGCATTTATGTGATTCCACACCCTGATGACTTGGGTTTGCATGAGGAATCAAAGATATTTCAGTTGCAGCCTAAGGTTACCCTTAGTCCTGGAAAAATGTACAAAGATGAGGCTCAGTGCCTTCATTTAGATTGGTATCAAGGAAAAGGACATGCAGACATTGCAGGGGCATTGTCTGATGGTGTTGTCTGTGTGTGGGATATCAGATGCAAATCTACCTTATTGTATGTTAAAGATATGCATGGCAACTTCACAATATATCCCAGAAATTCTTTTCAGGCTCATAATGGAGTTTGCTCTGTAGTAGCTTTTTGCAATACAACTGGAGGCAGGAATCTTGTGACTGGAGGTAATGATCGAACATATAAATTTTGGGATCTGGAAAACACAGATATGCCTCTTAGTATTAATCGCCGAGGGCTAGTGTTAGATGCAGTTTGGTTACCACATTGGGCGGGCTGTTTTGTATCATTTGATGATGTCTATGGTTTGTCAAACACAAGTTCAAGTTTCCGTGAGTGTGGTTTTTTTGGAATCCAGTCTCGTAATGTATTATCTTCCAATGCACCAGTCTGGTCCCTTTCTGGTTCTGATTGGTTGAATGCAGTTGTGCAAGGGGACTCTGCTGGTGAAGTGGTAATAACTGTACAGCAACAACTATTCAGAAATTATGAGAATGATAAATTTCCATCAAAAAGAAAAGTTCCCTTGCTTTCAGTTAGATTAGAAGACCTAGAGCAAGGCTCAAAAGTTTCTTTTAAACCTCAAGAGCCTAAGCCAAAGACCACTGAAAAGCCAAACACGAAAATTAACAAGAAGTCAAAGAAATCTCGCTCTATCAAGGAAACAGAAGATGAATTTGATGAGGAAGGTGATGAACTGTGCCCAGCTGCATACATTGAATGGCCCCATACTTATATGGAAACTTGTCAAAAATATGGCATAGTTTTTACTGATCAAAATACTCAGGATTTCTCAAAAATTCCTGCTTCAGAGATGGCTGAGAGGAAGCGATCTAATAGTATGGAACCAGGACCTGTTGCTTGCTATCCACTAATGGCAGCCACTTCAGTTGCATGGAATAATAATTTGGGAGCCCACACTTGGATTTTTGTTGGCACACAGTCTGGACTTTGTAAAGTTCTTCAAGTGTCCGCCCTTAATACATCAGAGGGAGAAAAGGTCATTAAAAAATATAGTAAATCATAGAATAATGATCTTTTATTTAAGTTGTCTAGTATGTACTTTGCAGGCAAAGTTATTGATTTATGTACTTTCTTATTAATATCATGTGGTATGTGAGAAAGAACTGTCTTTAATGCATGGATGTGGAAGAAAATATTTATTTTAGGTTATTTTCAAAACTTTATACTTGTAGAATTTGTTTTATCTATAATATGAAGAGTCAATATTTATATTGTAAAGCCAATAGAGGTAGTGTTAAGTATGTGAACATATTTGATAAGATGAAAATCTGTTCCTCCTCTAATTACTTATTTTGTAAATAGTGAAGGATACCATTATGAAACTACATATCTGTGCAAAGTTGTTTCCATTCTTTCTAATGCTATATTTTATCTGCTGGAATGTATGTTATAATTTGGCTTGAAGTATTTACTTTTTCTCTGTCCATAGGTAATTCTCTCCTATAGTGCATGTAAACATTGTTGACAAAAGTTTGTTAGTCTGTAGCAATATCTTGGTATGATTGCAATACTTACATTTTTACAAAATACTCAAGCATTTCTTTCTGAGTACTAATCATCTTGTGTAGACTTTCAACATGCTCAATTTTATGAAGGGGTAATTGAATGATCAAGAACTCTTTCTTCCTTCTTCGGTTACTCTATATCCGTCTGTAAAAGTCACTGTTTTTTCTGTAGCCTGATAAGTACAATTGTTATAACAAGAGGTGGCAATTTGAAAACCAAGCTATAGACAAAGGCAAGTTTTTAGTTTTCCATTTTTATTTTTTGAAGTTGATTAGACATTCCCTAAGACAGTGATCTGCATAGCCCAAAACTGTAGTTTGTAGGCAGTTCCTTAGTCCTGTAGTATCAGCTGTAAGTACACACTATGCTGAGATTAAAAAAAAAAAAGTAAAATACAAAAATGATATATGTTTGAGTTGCAAAGTTTTCTTTTTGTATTTCCTTTTGGAAAAGATTATTCATTGATGATTTTTATCCTGCAGAGGCTGGAATTAAAATGAAAAAATCATGTAAGGAGGATTGGAATGTTTCATTTGTATTGAAAGCTATTATGTTTAAAAGAATGCATTCTGTTACTAATGCAAATAGTAAGTCACTGCCTTAAAACAGTTGTGCCTAGTGTAGGTATATAAGTAGGAGAATCAACTACAGAGTACAGTAGTATGGAAACATCTCCACTGATAGTTTATATATTATGGCAATATTATGAAGAATTAGGCATGCTGTAATACATTTTTTAGTGTACTGCTTAGTGTTTTCTTTGTAAAGTTGTATTTTTGTATCTTATGAAATGTTTATTTCCAGTGTTCAAAAACATTTTTGGTATGGTATTGAACAGTATATGAAAACTTGTTTCATTTAACTATTCCATTGTTTTTATCAGGATTTACATGTTGATTTTTAGTTTCTGTAAATAAGGATTACACCAATTGCTGTTTTTCCAAGTATTGTCACTTTATACACTAT